CACTTTGGAGTGGGCCTTAAAGTCTATGGTTAAGAATTTTCATTCAGTGCAAAACAGTTGTGAACCATTCAGCTTCAAAGGAATGGCACAGTAAAAATGCCCATTTGTGTAAGTAAGGGGCAGAAGAGACTGGGAGGTAGGTAGAAAAACAGACTGTTGTGTAGGTTCTTGACTTGGGGTCTGTATGTATTAGTTTGCTAGGGCTGCCCTAACTATCAGACTGGGTGGCTTAACAGAAATTTACTTTCTCCAATTGTGGAGGCTAGAAGTCTGAGATCAAGGTATTAGTAGCATTGGTTTCTTCCAAGGTCTGTCTCCATGGTTTGTAGATGGCCATCTTCTGGTGTCTTCACATGTGTCTGAGTCTCCTTTTCTTAGAACGACAACAGTCATATTGGATTAGAGCCCACCCTAATGCCCTCATTTAAACTTAATTACCTCTTTAAAGACCCTATCTCCAAATACAATCACATTCTGAGGTACTGGGGGTTAGGACCTCAACCTGTAAATTTTGAGGGGACACAATTCAGCCCATAACAGAGTCCATGGAAGAGCTTCAGGGGCTTTGTGAGCCCCCGAGTGTGAATGCTGAATTTTGCACAAGTGTGCATTTGTCTGAGGCATGTCCACAGAATGCATCTGATTCCTAAAGGGGTTCATGATCCCCACCCCCCTAACTGGCTATTGCATTAACTGACTCAGGAGGCAGTTAAAGCTGTGGGACAAAAATGCCTAGAAATACCATACGCATCGATAAACATGATTTGGTGTTCAATGGTACATGAAAAATGACAGTTGAAGCTGAGTACAGGACTGCAAGTCGTAGTGTGAGGCACTGGAAATTCTGTTAGAACTGGTATTGGGAGAAAAGGGGATTTTTATTTTTGGGCCTTATTTGGATTTCATGGAAGATTATGTAATTTCTATGATTGTCAATAAAAAACACTGGTGATTTTCCATAACTAAGTGGATTCAATGAAACTAACCTTCTGTTTGTTATGTCCTTGCTAATATTTTCCTAAAAAGAAGTCACAGAACTACAAAACTGTCACCAGCTGCTTCTCATTAGGAATGTGGTTAGCAGATGTGGGTTTTCATAGTCATAACGCATGAGATAGTTAATCCATTTTTGTGGTTTTCAGATGGATAGTGATTTATCTTGGCAGGATAAATTTTTAAATGTGCTTACATCAGCTAAAGGATATATGCACCTTTCTCTCTTTCAGTTCATGTTTGTGCTGGAGAGAAAAATACATTTTAGGATGTTTCTCCCGGAAGGCAGAGGACTGTCTGTTGAAAGGGACAATTGATCTCACTGTCTTCTAACTGGAGAAGAGTTATGCCTGGATAATTTTTCAAATTTGGGTGTTGGATAGGTTATCTTACTAGCTTCTTTCTCCCTTTGTCCTCTTCTTTAGTAGCAATCTAGCAGTTCTTGCTTTTGTTCCTCTGGCATCAGGCGTCCTTCGTGGTAGTGACCTTCAGGCTTGCTAAGGGCTGCAATTTTGCCTGGGGCCCTCCTTCCTTATGAAATTACACAACACTCAAACCTTGGAACCAGCCCCAGATCCACTAATTCTTTCCTTTGACGGACTCTTGGCAATATGTTCTCTCTTTCAGCCAAAGTGTAGCTTTATACAAGATCTGTTTGTCGCTGAAATTAATTTGGCCATTTGCCCTTTAAGCCTGGGATCATATGATATTATGAGAGACTCATTCCTAGATAAAGTATAGACTCAGCTGGAGAGTTTCTACCAAAGGTTTAATTGTTGCTGCTGCTGAAGGTCAACAGGTAATATAAGAGCAGCTGGTACTTTTTATGGCACTCTAACCGCTTGGCAGGTACGGTGCTGCTAAACACTTCGCATACATCATCCCAGTCGACCCTCACAACCACCCTTAGAGGTACAAAGTATCTGAATTTTTCTGAAGACACTGAGGCCCATGACCTCAACCCTTTGACTATTATCATATAGCTAGTAAGTAGCCAAACTACTATTTGAATCTTCTACTCTTAATTACTATGCTATATTATATATCTACTATGAGGGAGAAGAAAAAGGAAAGACCATTGGGTTTGGAGAAAGCATAGAATCAGAGCCTGAGTCATAGAATTGTAGGAAATTATGGAACTGAGAGAGCTGATCCAACCCCCTCATTTTAAAGTAGCAATGATCCCTGCCTTGTTCTGAGAAACAGTAAGATAACAGCTGGGGCAGAGGAGAATACATATTGATAGGTGAGAGGAATGAAAGGTTATTAGGAATTATCTCAGCCATTTCCTTTTTTAGAGGTAGATAAAATGACATGTCTGTTCAAAGAATTATCTAAGCTTGTCTTGCTGTCCCTAAGAAACCATGGAAACAGATGTGTGTTCTTTTTATTTCAGATTTCATTATCCACAGTAAGTAGATTTCCATGGACTACTTGAGATTTCCTAGATGGTAATTTTCACTCTGCAAGGAACCAATAACCTTCAGAAGGATTATTTGAAACAACTACAGCACAGGAGGCACTGAATTTCAATCAATCACATGTTTAATGAGTTCCTTCTCTGCAAGGCAATATTTTTGGAATAATAGGGAATAGAAAGAAGTCGATGGGTGGTCCTTGCCTTCCTGTATTTTATAATCTACTGGCGCAAAACAGCCAAGCATAGAAGAAAATTGTTCAAAGGAAAAATCCCAATGAATTGGGTAGTCAGGGAAAACTGGGATGAGATCTTGCTGGGTGGGAATGTGGCGGAAAGTGGCAGGGGGTGTTTGGAAGGAAGGATTCAGGAAATGTGCAAGGCATCACTAGGAGACAGTGAATGAGTTTGGCTGATCTGAAAGTAGCGATGAAAGAGAATGTTGAAAATTAACTTAGGAGCTGATGGAGGACCTTGTAAAAGCAGCTCAATAGTTTGGGAATGTTTTATGGCTATATTTTAAAATAATTTTTTATGTAAAAACCCCCAAGTAATCCAAATATCAGTCTCCATTACCTTCTCTCCTCTCTGGTTTAAATATTTTCTTATATAACTTACTGTCTTATATAAGTGCCCTCACTTACTATTTAGGTGGAAGATTATGACTTCCTCCAACTCTATTGACCAAAAGGTCTAGATACTCTTAGAAAGAATTCCCGGCACTTCCCTTTTGCTAATAAAGGTGTCCTTAAGGGCCCAACCCTCGGTGAAGGCATATATAAGTGTTGAAAACAGTGCTCATACTCTAAGGGATCAGCTGCCAAGTGCTCTCTAACAAGCAGAAATTTCACATAACTCAGGCCTCTGGGGGCTCATGCCTCAGCTGGAGCAAAGCCAGAAATGTCTGTGACTGCAGGTGCACTTGGGCACATCGGGACCTGCCGAAACAGCGCGCTGGCCTCGCTGCAATTGATTTAGGAGAGGGCTAGAGGGTTGAGCTTCTGCTGACATTTGCAGCTTGGGAAATCCTGCTCCATTAATTGCAAAGAGGATTCTGCTGTAATGATTTTTTTGGTAAGATACTTTTCTCATTTTGAATTCTTTCTTCATTTGGGCTCTGGGTGCTTTCCAGTCTATTTTTACGGCTTTAATTCCTGGTATAGGAGGCTCTTTGGAAGTTTCTGCCCACACATGAATGTGCATTCATAGAGTGGTACATGGACATGGCTTACAAGCTTCAACATGTACTTCGTGAGCAAGCAGGTATGCAGCCCCTTTTACAGGAATTGGTGCACAATCCCTCTGCTTGCAGTCCACCCCTCCCCCCATGAAAACGTGGGGATTTCGCTTTCACTGCTGAAGGAAAGTTAGAGGGCACCTTGACCTCATGTTTTTACTGAGATCTCTCTCAGCAGTGTGATTTCTGGACTCTCATTTTTGAGGTCTGAGGTAGGTAGTAAAGAAAAGCACTGGACCAGGAGACTGGGAGACCTCAAAGTTGTCTCTGTTTCCGCGCCGTCGGCTTTAAGCCCGAGTCTTTGGCTTTCCAGGCCTTAGTTTCCTCAGCTCTTCCAGCCCATGAAGCTGGAAGAAGCGAGTGAATTGCATCACTCACGTCTTTGGATAAAAGCCACTGTAGGCTCTGCGGTGTGCATACCGTTTCCGGGGATGCTCATCTACATTTACCCTAAAAAAGGCCATGGCCTCCAGGGTTAGAAAGTCAGATCTACAAATTCAAGTCCAAACACTCCGATATTTGATTATATGAGGCTTTTCACACTCACATCCTGCTATCTCCACCAACCCTACATTCTGTTCACGTTGGAATTCTGGCATCTTCCTAAGTAACCATCATTCTGCAAATATCTTTGAGGTTGACCTATTGTGGCTGCAAGGCTGAAGAAGACATGGTCCCCTCGCACATTATAGGCAGGAAAACAGGTAATGAATGCCAAAGTAGAGTGACATATGCTTGGATTCATGCCTCTTGACCTTTGCTTATGCAGTTCTCTCTGCTCCACCTATTCACTGTCCAGTGTCACCTCTGTGCAGCTGACCCTGGGCCCAACCAACTGTTTCTTCTACACTGCCCTCAGAGCATTTTCTACATGTCACTTAACCACATAGTATCACACTAGTTTGCTTGGTTCCCCGTTTTCCTCTCCCACTAGACCGCCAGCTCTCAGCTATGGTACGTTTTATTTAGCTCATCTCCAGGCCACAAAAGGAGCACACGGCACAGCACTCGGTAAATACGGAATGAACCAATCAATGCAAGAGTGAACGTGCAACCCAGTCCTGCAGGCTTGCAAAGTGCTTCTTGAAGCGCATTTTGCTTTCTGTGCCCAGGCAGCTCCGGTAAATTGCACAGTAGAGGTTAGGAGTTTGGGGGGGGCTGTTGGAGGCGAACGGAAGGAGATCGTGATACAGAGCCCCACTGTGCTCAGGCTGCCCACGTCCGGTGAGCAGCAAAGGACTGGACTGCGGGCAACAACTTAAGCTCCCGGAAGCGGCTCAGTCGGCCTCTCCCCGCCCCTCCGGAAGGTGGGCGTGGCCTCTCATGAATAATAAATCGCCGCGGGGGGAGGGGCCGGGCCCGCCCCCTCGGGCGGGAAGAGGGAAGCGCCGAGGCTGCCTGACTGGAATGAGGGTAGCTGCGACGACTGCGGCGGCGGGAGCGGGGCCGGCCATGGCGGTGTGGACGCGGGCCACCAAAGCGGGACTGGTGGAGCTGCTCCTGAGGGAGCGCTGGGTCCGGGTGGTGGCCGAGCTGAGCGGGGAGAGCCTAAGCTTGACGGGCGACGCCGCGGCGGCTGAGCCCGAGCCCTCTCTGGGGCCGGCGGCGGCCGCCTTCAACGGCCTCGCGAACGGCGGCGGCGCCGGCGACTCGCTGCCCGGGAGCCCGAGCCGCGGCCTGGGTCCCCCGAGCCCGCCCGCGCCGCCACGGGGCCCGGCGGGCGAGGCGGGCGCGTCGCCCCCGGTGCGCCGGGTGCGGGTGGTGAAGCAGGAGGCGGGCGGCCTGGGCATCAGCATCAAGGGCGGCCGCGAGAACAGGATGCCGATCCTCATCTCCAAGATCTTCCCGGGGCTGGCGGCCGACCAGAGCCGGGCGCTGCGGCTGGGCGACGCCATCCTGTCGGTGAACGGCACTGACCTGCGCCAGGCCACCCACGACCAGGCCGTGCAGGCGCTGAAGCGCGCGGGCAAGGAGGTGCTGCTGGAGGGTGAGCGGGGCCGGCGGGCGGCCGGGCGGGCGGCGCTGGGCCGGCCGGGGCTCACTTTGTTTCTGCCACCCTGCCCCCTTTGCGGAGCGAGCCCGCTCCCTCCCCCTCTGAGTCCTCGCCTTCCCCTCTGCTAGTGACCTGGCTCTCCCTAGACCCCGTGTGCTGGGGCTTCGAGGATGGAAAAACTGATATTCCTTGCAGGAAAAGTTGGGAGCCGCCTAAGTGTGGCTTGCAGTCCCTAAGGAAGACTCGGTAGAGAATTAGTAAAAAGCAGGCGCGCTTCAAGCCCCGCCTCTGCACGATAAGCTGACACTAAGAACTAGAGGGAGACCGAACGGCTCCAGTTCTGGAGGTCTCTCTTTGCTTCCTGAGAAATGCCGGGTTGGCATTTTCATCACTCCCTTCTGGCTCCCGGGGCTGGTGGGTCTGTTAAAAAAAAAAAATCATCCACGCCGATGCCAGCGGTATACTTGGGCAAACCACCAAAACGCTGGTTAATATATGGGAATTTAACCCATCATTGGCTCTCAACAATAACCAAAGGAGATCAGAGTACTTCATTGAAGCCAGAAAGCTGAAACAGCAAGTTTGTGTGGTTAATGAGCCTTGTTTAACAGTAGAGGCTCACGTGTTTGAACATTTACTGCCAACTAGAGTTTTGCCTCTTTTGCAAGAGACTGGTGCCAACTTCCTACCATTCACAGGCGGGCTGCTTCAAGCTTTAAGCTTTTTAGAAGCTTGAAATGTTAAATCTCAAGATGTGTTTGAATAGCTAGGCTTATTATTTACCCTAAGTGTATTTGTGATCTGTAACCTGGATCTTTTATGATGAATTTATGGAACTAAGACACAATTAGATCGCATCTGGTTGAAGGACTCATGGGTGTTGGAGGGTATAGAGTATTGTAAATGTGATCTGAAAAGCCAGTTGCTTGCTTCAGAAATTTTTGAGCCATTGGCTTTCTTTCACTGGTGATTCAGTCATTCGAGAAGCATTTACTGCTGGCTGTATAGAAGAGAATATAAAGGATGATGTGTCTCTGGTTGGGGAAATGATAGAAAAATGCAAAACATCTTACAAGCTATTGATTATGTAGTGCAAACTATATATAAATGCCAAGGGAGTGCAAAGTTAGGAAACAGTGAAAATCAAGATTAGTCAGGGAGGACTTTTTCAAGGAACTGAATCTTGGGCCAGGTCTCCAAGGAAGTGATGGACATACACAGGCAGAGATGAGTCAGGAGAGTATTCCTAGCAGAGGAAGAACAGAGGGAAGGGGTGGGGAGTAGGGATAAGAAGGAACCAATCATCAAACTGAGAGGCCAGAAGTCCATCTTGGCAAAGTGATTTTCATTTTTTTCTAAATCTTGTAAATATTTGGGAAAATATTAGTTTGCAAGTAAATGATTTAATATGCTCTGAATTCGTGTCCTACTTTTATGATATCCTATTTATGAGTCTTATTTATATCTCGCTTATACGTGGGCCTAGAAACTGCTCAGAAATTGGTGTTAATAAAAGTGGTAAAATTATAGATTGTGGCTTGTGTGGTGCATGTGTAAAAAAAATTGTTACCGTAAACGTGTACCTTGAAATTGGTCTAGCTGTTTGATTATAAATTCCTAGAGCCAGAATATTGAATGTGGTACTATTTATGTAGTACTCAGTGGTGATGGGCAGACGTTTCAACTCTTTACACCATATTTTTTTAAAAACCCAGTTTTTGTTTAGATATAATTTGAACGTGGTATTCATACCAAGTAAATGAAAAGCATGTAGTAGATGCTTCCCTGTATTCATTAGTCTAAAATAGACCACATGTGCTTTTAGGAGTTTACACATGGCAGCATAATGCCATATTTATTGAATGCCTTTTTACCTAACACACAGGTTCTACTTGATTTTCCCATTTTGTAAAAGACAAGCAGTTTTTGTCCTTATATGTGTGGGGAAGTATGAAATTACACTTTTAAGCCAAGGGATATAAAAATAAAATTACTTGGAATATGCAGAATCACTGAAAACAGTGATTTCATTGAACCAGTCAAACATTATTTAAAATCAAGAGCTGGTGTCCCATCCAGGTAGGTCACTTTTAAAATAGATTTTCTGCTTAGCCTTTAAAGTTTTGAAACTGTATTGTCCTTCCATTAGATGTCTCAAAACTTGAAAAACTGACTTAACATAGCACAGTGATGCTCTTTGTGGTGTGGGCAGGGAATTTCAGACATGTCCTCACCACCCCGAAGCAAAGGAAAGCTGTAGTCTCTGGTTGCCTGTGTTTAGGGAATTGAGCTAAATGATTCGTTTTTGTCTCATGGATTTGTGGAGATCATTCATTCATCCATCAGACATTTATTCAACTCCACCATGTGCCAGAGGTACTTGAAGATGCCTCATTTCTGCCCTCAGGAAGTTTGGAGCTGATACGAGAGAGAGAGGAAATAAGTACAGCAAGGCTAAAAGCACTGTTATTATAGAACTCTGGAGAGGGCATGCACAAAGGAAGGAGAGATCTCTAGAAAACCATAGTCGGGGTCAGAGGTTGAAGATGCCCAGGAAAAGATTGATGGAGAAGTTGAAGCTTGAATTGGAATTTCTCTTCCCCTAAGAAGAGAAAGCTGCCATCAGTTAAGAGACACAAGTGAGAGACGTTAAGAAGTTATTCTGCCCAGTTAGGGTAGAGTACAAATGACAGATGTGAGTTTGTTTCAGGCTAGTGGTTTGTAACCCCTAGGCAAGTTACTCAACCTTGCTAAGCCTTAGTTTCCTCATCTGTAAAACCAGGATGGTGATAATACCTCCCTCAGAGGTTGTTATTCATTTGACAGTTTATGTGCTGTGTGGTTTTTTAGGGACTGGGAATACAGCAGTAAACAACAACAACAAAAAGCAAAGTCTGAATGAGGAAGGTAGGACTGGGTTATGAAGGTATGCCGAGAGTTAAGGAAGACACTCTCAGAAGAGCCAGGATAACAAGTTGTTAAAATCCAAGCCTCCGTTTTACTTGAAAAGAAATACATGATAAGAATATGAATTATTTTAGGTGAACAGGTTAAGAATGAGTTTGCATTTCTTGGATGCAAGCACATTTTCTCAATCATGTTTTCCTATTTTTCTGTCATCTCTCATATAGGCCATTTTTTTATCCTTAAATTTTGAATTTCAGTTTCCCACTCCTCTGATTTTTCTTCTTTCACAAGTACTACTCAGAACCTTAAAACTTGCCATTAACTGTGTACTTGTAGTTTTGGGTAGTGACTATCATTGTTCCAGAGGTTAGGGAAGACAGTATAAAGAGTCCAGCTTAAGTTTGATATTTGAGAAAAGATCAGTATTTTTGAAGCACTTCTCATTGGAATATTGTTGGAATATCATCTTTTATTGCCTAAATGTGATTCTAAAAGTATTCTTATTAAATCTACTGAAAAGAAAATTGTTAAGCTTGTAGAGGAAGTGGACTGGCATAAAACTTAACTTAAGAATTGAAAATAATTTTTGTATCTAGAATGGTTTGAGATTTTGAGTGTCATATACAATATGGCTCTTTGTGTATGTCAGGGGACATGTAACAAATACTGCTGATTTTATTAGGCTGCTAAGTTAGAGAAGCTGGTTTGGATTCCTGCACTGCCACTTTTCTTCATTGTGTGTTAGACAAGTTGAGAATCTCCTAAGGAAAACATTTTACATTTTCTTTGGACTTTGCATGCATATTCATTAATCTGTCTCTTAATTAAAACAACGAAATTGTCAGGACATTTGTGTCCCTGTGTTTGTTTCTTTTTGTTTAACTAGCCCCTTTATGTTTCACTTGAATGATTAGACATGTTTATATGAGAAACTGTCTTTGTAACCAGATTATTTCTTACAGAGTCTCCTTCATGCTAAAATATGCCCTTCAAATTATTATCAAAATATGAAAAGTTTAATCTAATACAGAATGGTTATGAAAATTCTAATAACATTTTTAGAAACATAACCAGGCTTTAATTTGGATCTCAACTGATAACTCAGTAACTTCAGCTGATATAGTCCCTGTTCTGTAGTCCTTCCCAGATAAAGGTTACTTTACTTTGTGATCAGATACGTCTTTCTACATAAGGGACGAAGTACAGCCTGTGGCTTTGAACAGTGCTCTGCTGTTCTGAGCTGACTAACTTTTCAAGGGTCCAGTCACTGTCCTTGGCTAGGTTAGCACACTATCCTAACTGAAGAACTTCCACTAAATAGTATAATAATGCCTTATATTTTAATCAGGATTTTAAAATTATCTATGTGTTTTTATCTGTATTTTCTCATTTGACCTTTACACAGTCCTTCGAGATGGTGGGCTATTTATCTTTATTTTCCAGATGATTACAATGAAATTCAATAAAGTTAAGTGAGTTATCGAAGGTCTTAGAATTTCTCTTGATTTTTAGGGGAGAAACTTGAATGTTTCCTTTGGGCAAGAGAAAAAATCTTACCTGGAATTTATTTATTTATTATTTGCTTATTTTGAGGAAGATTAGCCCTGAGCTAACATCTGTCAATCCTCCTCTTTTTTCTGAGGAAGACTGGCCCTGAGCTAACATCCGTGCCCATCTTCCTGTACTTTATATGTGGGATGCCTACCACAGCATGGCTTGCCAAGTGGTGCCATGTCCACACCCAGGATCTGAACCGGTGAACCCTGGGCCACCAAAGCGGAACGTGCGCACTTAACCACTGTGCCACCGGCCGGCCCCTTACCTGAAATTTAAAAAGTTGTAAAGTCTCATCTTCCAGATGAGGAATTAATGACCAGAGACTGTCAAGGGTATGTTTAAAGTCACCCAGCTAATTATTAGTGAAACTTGAACTACAACCCAGTCCAGTGCTCTCTCCTTTGCATCATGCTGCCTACCTCTAACCAGTCAGTCAGATCTTTTACCATCTCCTATGTATCATCATGTTGCAATGTGTTGTGAGAGATCACTGTACAAAAGAAGTTGAAGGTGGTCCGTGGCATCAAAGA